AAAATATTTTGCCGATGTTGTAATGTATGTCTAGTATGTGTTCTGCTTTTTGTCCCCGGTGGCCCAGCAGTTAACTTGCAGACTTATAACGATAAATGTCTGGGTTCGATATCTGCGGTTGGCACAGTTCAAATGGCCAATTGTACAGCTTAGTGCTTACACAATCAAAAAACTGTTCTACTTTAGTGCATATTGCTTAGAAGTGAGTAATACTGGAATTAACTTTATTTGAATATTGAGATAATATATATGTTTTACGATCTCGGTAATGGCCTAGCGTTTAGTGTATAGGAATAGGTATCAGGAGGTTTTAGACTCGAGATTGTGTTAACAAACATTCTTCGCATTTCAACTATGAGTGCGTTATAAGAGTTGCAGTCAATAACGCTATCGGTTAAGAGTAGTGTTTTAGGTGGCAGGTGCTTCCGACTGGTTTGCTTTCACTCTAGTCCACAGTTCAAAATTAGAGACCGCTAGGCCTGAACCATAGACATCTCTGATCTAGCCGTTTAGCCCATTGTGGGCATAAGGTCTCGTTCGGGCGAACAAACAAATATACAGTAATAAACAAATCAACAAAAGTTAAGTTGACCAGATAGTAAAATAGAGTATGTAAAAACTCGTTTTATTGACCAAAGACTAATAAATCTGTTTACAACTTTTTGCAAACTTATTTTTTCACGTCAGTAATGTCGTACTTCCGAAAAAATCCACAAGTTACTCAATAAACCAAGCTAGATTTGGCCTCACGAATTATTTGTAGAGTATATTCTAAGAGCAGAAACTAATTAAGCTACAGCACATACATTTATTTATTTCACTGAAAGCAATCCTCCATACTTTAGAATTCCAGAACAACCCTACACTTAAGTTAGATGAAAAGAATTTAAGTTTAATCTGGTACAGACATTCTAACGACGTCACATTTGTAATCTATCTTAATTAGAACATGACTTAAATAAAAAAACACGCTCTTAATTTAGGACAATACAAAAAATATAAAAGCAAAGAAAAAGGAATACATAGATTTTAAATCATAGTTGAAACATCGAAATGCTGATTATTAAGTTGATCATTTCATTTACCATAAACTATGACATATATAAGCTAATTCCTGATATACATGGCCAGCTCCTTCGTGTGTCTTTCTACTTGATCATGGTTGTATTTCAATCATCCGCCCAAAGCTTAGCTAGAAACAAGTAGATTCTGGCTTGTTCTGTACAAGGATAACCTCATTCATTTAATCTAGCATGGAATTTTCATGGGCAGGAGACAAGCAGACAGGTAGGCATTAACAGATGAAAAGTCGTCAGCAGCACTCAAACAGTTGTCAGATGATGGACCATGGTGAGTAATCTTAAACTTCTTGTACTGCCTAGTCCTCTTCTTCCCC